CTCTCTCTCTCTCTCTCTCTCTCTCTCTCTCTCTCTCTCTCTCTCTCTCTCTAACTGAGTGTGTCTAACAGCCCACTGCTGTTTTCAGCAACAGTACTGTTATTAAAAGCCCATTTTACAGATGGACAAGTTAAACCCCAGAAACCTCCAGTCTCTGCTCAGATGCCCACTGTTCTATGGTGCTAGAGTCTATCAAGACGAGACTAAGGGCAGAGCATGAGTTGCTGTTAGGGGGCCACTGCAACTTCCCAAACTATACATGTGCCTGATCTTGGTCCCTAAACTGGACATTGTCTTAGTACACCCATGGGGGTGGCAGGACCTAACACCTACAAAATACATGCCTATGCACACAAATACGTTAAGTGGTGGCTCCTCTGGTTCACTCCACCAGACCACAGGCCTGTGACAGCTCTCCAGTCCCCAGCAGGTGCCAGCTAGTCAGCCTTCCTTCACCTAAGTTCTAGGTGTGCATGAGCATGGCCGGGTCCTGGGTGTGGTCATCTTGGATCAGGCTGGAACAGGAGTACCTGGATGCAGATCTTAAATTCTCATCGTAAGCCCTGCCTTCATCTCTATCTGCAGGTCCTTACTCTTAGGTGTGCTGACCAGTTTGTAGGCTGATGCTTTGGCCTGGAACTGTGCGTGTGTGTGTGTGTACATGCACACGCACATGAGTGTGCATCTGTGTGGCTATCAGCCGTCTCAGACCCTGGTGAAGAGTCAGCTATGCTGCTAAGGAGCCTTGTCCTGCAATGGGGACCAGCTCAGCTCCAGGCTGCTCCTCAGGCAGCACCAGGGACAGCTCTGTACACCTCCTCTGTGACACTGGATGGAACTGGACTGACTAGGGATTCAGGGAAGAATGATACAGAGAAAGCACTTAGAACAGTGCCTGGCGCTAGCGCTCAAGGAGTACTAGCCGCTGTTAACAATTTAGCTTTGTCTTTTGCTCCTGCTGGATCAGACAGCGGCCATATCCAGCAGATGCCTGCTAAGGGCGGGCGGAGACCCTCAGGCTGCTCTGCAGGAAGACAGCTGCCTGGCAGGACCTCAGGGAGGGAACTCTGCTTTACTGCACCCACCCCACCCCCATCTGCTTCTTTCCCCGCCTGAATTTCCCTCTGGGATGCCTTCCAGTAAGGGGGCATCCCACTCTGACGCTGTCTTCTCCTTTCCCAGAACTGGTCCTTCTCGCTCGTCGTGGCCGCTCTCGTGGGAGCGTTCGGATCCTCCTTCCTCTACGGGTACAACCTCTCGGTGGTGAACGCGCCCACACCGGTGAGTGTCCGCGCAGTCCGTCCGCCAGAGGGCGCTGTGCCCACGAGGGGTGACCAACAAAAACAGGGTGACTGGGGTGGGGGGGGGGAGGCGACACGGTCGGGGGGGTGTGTGGAGGGAGGAGTTGTCGCAGAACTGAGGTAAACTTCAGTACAGTCCGGACTGGGCTTGAGGGCTCTAATGCCAGTGCAACGATTTTAGGAGCTTGGAACACATAGACTCCTATGTTTTGACTTGCCCTTTTAAATTTAAATTTTATTCACATTCAAAGCCACCTGCTATGGCCCACCCCTGGCTCCTGTTTCAGTCTGAGATCAATTCCAGGCTCTCTGCTGGTTGCAGGAGAAGGTCTGCCTGAGGCCAGGTTTTCTTCTGCCAGCTCCTGGCAGGATGGAGGCGGCAATGGGAGGGGCAGAGGCTGATTCAGAGCCCAGGCTTGCATGTGGAGGGTGGGACCCGAGAGGCTACCAAATTAGAGAAACCCGGGGATAGGCTCCGAGATTCAGGTGGTTAGAGCACTGGGCAGGCATGCTGGGGACAGCCTGAGGCCCATAGAAGCCTGGCTGGTGGCTCTGGCACTTCTGGGGGCTTTGCTTTGAGTGCCATCATTCTCCTGTGTCAAATACAGGGGAGCCAAAGCTGGTGGATCTCCAAGAGGATACAGGTGCCACAGGGATGCAGGTTGCTTCAGTGCCAGTGCCAAGGCAGATCTAGGTTGTAAACTTGAGTAAATGCTGACATTTGAGGAGCTGTCCAAGTTATCTCAAAAACCGGTTCTGATGCTAAAGGCTGCTGGGAAAAAAAATCGACATCAGATCACTCTTCCAGATGTCTGCAGCTACCTGGGTCTTTGACTCTGTCATTTTAAGATGAGACTCTGACTTACTTGAGTTCATCTCTGAAAAAACAGCTTGGGGTATGGAAGGTTCATCAGGGCATTCACCCAAGAGAGTGGGGCCCTTGTGAAGCACAAATCCACGTGAGATTTGAACCTAGAGTAGTGTTAGGTCACTGACACATGAACCATAGAAAAGAGCAGTTTAGTCATTTATTCAACAAATATATACTGAGTACCCATCACATGCGGGATGCTTGGAATCAGGAAGGCAGTCTGGAGGAGGTGGCCCTTGATCTGAGTCCTGTATGACTGGAAGCAATTCCAATGAGGCAGAGGCAGAGAGGCAGAGAGGCAGAGAGGCAGAGAGGCAGAGAGGCAGA